CGTGAACAAAGAGCCAGTTCCCGCCACAGAGCTGAGGGTCAGTGACCTGGTGGAGGACAACAAGTACACCTTCCGGGTCATCGCTCACAACCGCGCGGGTCCCAGCCCACCCAGTGAGCCCTCACCCACCGTGCTTGCCAAAGATCCCTGGAGTGAGTCCTTCTGTCTGTGTGTCTTCTTGCGCATGTGGGAATGTGTTTGTCGCCAAGGCTGAGTATAGTGGAGAAAGGCAAAAAAAGGAAACGATTTTAAAGGCCGTCTCTGAACCTTCTCCAACACCAACAGTCCTATATGTAAGGCATCGTGGTGAAATCAGGCGCTCGTTTAAATAATGAAATCAAAGAAAGAGGCATTTTTCCGTTTCCCTTTGTCATGTTTATTGTGTACATTTTTACTTAAAAACAGTTTGTTAAAGGGACCAAAAAAGTAAATTTGCCTGTTTCCAAATACTCTCAAGCTTTGGATATCACCAAACTGTGGCAGCCGTTTTCTCGCTAATTTTACCCCTTCTACCAGGTGACCCTCTCCTACTTCAATAAAAAAATATATGTAGACTTCTATTAAAGATAGATGGATGATTTTTTCATCGATCATCGAAAACAAGACAATTGAACAAGTTTAAAATGATACCAATAACTCCATATGCCCAAAAATTGACGAGCGCCTGATTCCACCACGTCGTGACTCATATGTGAACGCCTTTTGTCTTCTCATCATCAAGCAACTCATCAGTAAAGTCAGCAAGCAAACTAACAATTATACATTCACATAACTGGAGTAAAGCGATTATTTAAAAAAACATGAAGATACAGCCAAAAGTGGCTAGGACGGTCTTTAATTTTAGGGGAGGAAAGTGGATGTCTTAGACAGGTGGCCGTCTTAAACAGTATCATTATAAAGTTTAAAAAATAGTAAAATAAGATAAAGTAAGATAAAATAGAAATCGTAAGTGGGGCTGAGAAATGACCGTTTGTACAGGTCATCATTGTCATAAAAAGGTTACCGTTAGAGCAGGCTGGACTGTATTTGGTCACTTTTAAGCACGCGAGGGCTATCCCGAAAAATGCTGTTTTGAGAAAATGTTTAGTTTCTTTAAAATACAAGGAGAGTTTTCTCTATAACCAAACAAATACACACACCAATGAAACCAAACTTCTCTTATAGGTAGGGATATGCCCACTTTTGGTGTAGGTCAAGATTTCTGGAAACCCTGTGAATCTGGGTTAGCTCGCTTGTTCTTAAAAGCGACCAGTTTTTCAAACTGTCCCCTCCTCCTTCC